TATACAGTACATATTATATATTATTAAATAAACTAATATTATATTGATATAATGAGAGAGTGTAGAGAAGAGAGAGAAGAGCAGAGAGGAGAGAAAGAGAGAGAGAGACAAGAGAGAGAAGAGAGAGAGAGAGAGAGTAGAGAGGAGAGAGACGAGAGAGAGGAGACTGGGGGGAAAGCTAGATGGGACGGAGAGTGGGAAACTAGGTTATCATATATTCAGCATAGTCTTTAACCACCTCCACTGACGGCGTTTGGATGGCACTCTTATGATCGAGCAGCTGGGAATCCGCGCTTTCTCTTCGAGCGATGTCTGCTCACGTTCTCCTTTCGTATCCAATAAGGAAGAAACGCGCAACATATATATCGATTTTGTTAGCCCATACGAGTGCTAGTTGCTTTGTGGGTGCAACGCATCGCCTGGCCGTAAGATTTCATGCAACAAACAAGTAGCATTCAGCTAGAGTTGATGGCGAATTTACGTATAATATTACAGTAATTATTAATTATTACAGACGAATTATTATTATTATTATTATTATTTCTATTAGTTTGATTATTTTATTATTGGATTCTTCATTCAGTTGGCGCAGCTTATGTCACCATGAGTAAGTCGTCTCAAATAGTATACTATGTAGTTTCACTTAGTCATCAGTCTGTATACCGTTATGTGTATCGTGTACGCTATTAGCCACGTCACGGCACATACACCTCCAGGCCCAGCCGCTGTCAGACGTCTCGCTGAGCTGTCCTATCTTGTTCTAGGTTGGCGGAATTAATTACCATCCGACCGATGTACTAGTATCGCCAGTGTAGACAGTAATGGACTCTGTAAATACTGTGTAACACTGCGCATATTTAATACAGGCGCGGCAAATTGTATCGTGGTTGATGCTGGTGTTTTTCCACGTCAGTACTAGAGCTAGTGAGGCGCGGTCCGATCCTAATTTTTTATGCGTGGTTGATGCGCTTCGATTAAGCTTCGGGAATTCCAATTTGCTTCGTCTAGGTCTTGCGTTAGAGCGAAAAAGATGCTGAACTTATCTATCTATTCTTATCGTACTATGTCGGTGCGTGTATGTATGTATTGTGTGTGATCGTTTGGTGTGTGTGTGTGTGTGTGTGTGTGTGTGTGTGTGTGTAGTGTGTGATGTTTGTGTGTGTTGTGTGTGTGTGTGTGTGTGTCCACACGTGTGTGCTGTGCATCGTGTGTGTGTGGTGTGCGGCGCGCATAAGCTGGTGGCGGGCGTCCGTGCGTATTTATTTAGTAGGCGATGATAGCCTTTGGGGCAGCTTTAACGAACCCGTCTTTAAGTGGCACGCTGTGAGCGAAACAATATAACCTGCCGCCTGCATCCTGCGTGCGGTCACGCTCTAATTGCTACGTAGGATTATATTGCGCTGACATAGATCGCACGTAAGTCATGCAGACCTGACCTTCTCGGCCCCCCACACACGTGTAATATCACAGGCTCGTGTCGTAGAGTCTATATAACGTCTGCATGCCGCAGATAGCTGATGGTTCTACACTTAAGCATAATTAAGGTTGGGACTTCATGACGTGTGGGCTAACAGTCACGATGAACGATAGGCTGTTCTGATATGTAGCCGGAATGGTTCGGTGTAAGCTCGCGTCTCGTGAAGCGTCTCAATCGTGGGCATGACTATAACGCACACTGGTGTATATATAGTACGTTTTATACCTCTTCGCATCCTCTCTATATCTAGCAAAAGTCCTTAGCAACATGCTATTGCTGATTCCCCTACGCCCTCATGCCACTAGCATGACCCATAGACCCACGACACACTAACCCCAGTTGACCACAGCCGCTAACCTTCCTCCCGTATCCAAATAACCCGCCCTACCTATGCCACATTGGCCACTTACATATGCCACCGCATACACCTCACGTACCAATAGGCCCGCAATCCTCACTAACCAACAATCACCACATACACTGAACCCTCAACAACACAATTAATGCTTGGTATGTGGTTAGTGGCATTGGTACCGGCTTTGAATGTGGTATGGGGACAGGGTATGTAGGATATAATGGGGGGTTAATGTATGTAGACTTATAATAACCTATATACCACCTAGCACCCACCGTCCTAACATCCAATATCCCGACCTGCGCTGCTCTATAACGCCACAACTGGCAACGATCCCGCCAATGGACGGACATTATTTGATCTGATAGCTCTTAAATATTGGCAATGCTCAGGCATCTAAAGGGCTCTGAGTCGTTTAGAATTACTAATCTCTGGCAGATGATTAGCGGTTCCTTCGCCCATCGGCTAGCAAGCACCTTCGTTCAGTAGCAGAAGAAATTACAATTAACATTTGCATCGACGATCAATCGACCTCAACCCCCCAGCCTGCTTCCATTTGCATGCTCGCGTTGTCGTGCAGACCACCGCAGCCAGTGCTTCCCCACGTCGACGTCCACATGAGAGATCTACCACGTGACCGTTCATTGCCGTTAGCGCTGTAGGAACGCCGCGCGGGGGCAGGTGGCTGTAGATTTTTTCGATCCGCGCGCTTCCGTTGTAAGTGCCACCCGGAGACGGCACGGGTAATTGACTTGTAGAAATGCGTTACACGCAGATAAGGGAGGGAAGGGAGAGGGAGATAATATATATATATATATCTCCACCGCCGCAGCGATGACATACATACATACACGCACGCACAAGATAAATAGATAGATAGATCAGCATCTTTTCGCTCTAACGCCAAGACCTAGCCGGAAGCAAATTGGAATTCCGAACTTAACGAAGCGTTGGAAAACACAGCATCAACCACGCATAAAATTTGCCGCCGCTGTATTAAATATGCGCGTGTTACACAGTATTACAGAGTCCATTACGTCTACACTGCAGTCTATACATCGGTCGATGGTAATTAATTTTCCGCCACCTAGAACATGTGAAAGGCATACGCGACGTCTGAGCGGCTGGCTGGGGTGTATGTGCGTGCGTGGCGTATAGCCGTACAGATACACATACTAGTGATACCAGTGATGCTAGTGAAACTACATAGTATACTATTGTGACGACTACATCATGTGAACATAGCGTCGCCACTGGAAATAAGAATAATAATAATAATAATAATAATTCGTTGTAATAATATAATATGTAATTATAGTAAATCGCCATAACTCTAGCTGATGCTACTCGTTAGTTGCATGAATCTTACGGCCAGGCAAACCCCCATGCATGCTTCCACACACAAGCTACCTAGCACTCGTATGAGGCTAAACAAATCGTATATATGTTCGCGCGTTTCTTTCCTGTAGTTGGATACGAAGGAGAAGGTTGAGAGACATCGCTCGAAGAGAAGCGCATTCCCAGGTGTCGATCCTAAAGTGCCATCTAAACGCCGTCAGTGGAAGGTGTGTAAAGATATGCTGTAATATATGATAACCTAGTTTCCCACTCTCCGTCCCTCTTCGCTTTCCCCCCAGTCTCTCTCTCTCTCTCTCTATATATATATATATATATATGTGTGTGTGTTTACACCCATTTCTTCTCTCTCTAACCCCCTATCTCACTCTGGCTTTCTCTTTCTTTCTTTCATTTCCTCCTCCTCGCTCACGCTCGCGCTCACCCTCGCTCTCTCTTTCTCTCTCTCTCTCTCTCTCTCTCTCTCTCCCTCTTGCGAACTCGCGCCCTCTTCCTGTCGCGCGCGCGCGCTCTCTCTCTCTCTCTCTCTCTCTCTCTCTCTCTCTCTCCCTCTTGCGAACTCGCGCCCTCTTCCTGTCGCGCGCGCGCGCTCTCTCTCTC